AAGCATCTGTTCAGTTTTTACCATTTTTTGCCTTTGAATTCAAAACATCGTTCTAACAATAAAATCTAACTGGTCAATTCATACCGCGCTAATGAATCATGTTCTATATGATGTAGAATCACTGTTACTATTGTGAAAGCAGTTGGTTGGAATGAGTAGCTGACCACACTTCACACTTTTTAGCGATAAGATTACTGTAGACTTGGACTTTAAAATTTCAGTATCACTTTCTACTAATTGTACTGGCTGTTCATCTCTTACTTGGTAGGATCTTGAAACCTACCATGCTGTCCTTGTCCATGGAGGTGGTTTCGGTGCTTGGTGTTGGTATAAAACTATTTCCCTTCTGCAGGAAGCTGACTTTAAAGTTTCTGAAGAAGTCTTAACAGGTTCTAGCATCCATTATTCTGATACAAACAGCGTTAGAAATCCAGCCGAATATGTAAAGCCACTGTCTGATATTTCAGACATGCTTGGTGAAGGGGACAGGGTTTGTGCTCTCCCTTTTCAATAAAGATGATTGATAATACATTTGAGGTACTTCTATAATTAAGTTCTTCTCTCGAAAAATTCAGGTGATTCCGGCGGTGCCTGTATCTCATGTGTGATGGAGTTGTTTCCATCTAAAATTGCTAAAGCTGTTTTTATTGCTGCAATAATGCTGTCCAGTAGCAGAGTGCCCCTGGTATATTTTCTCAACAGGTTTGCCCACCATTTCCATCTTATACGTGATTTGGAAAAGGCAAAGCATAAAGGATGACATTAAACTAATCAAACCATGTAATCCTGGTCCATTGAAAATGGTGGCAGCATAATTCGCTCCTTTACATCCTCTGAGGTCTATAGATTTTCCTCCAAAGCGATATGCTTTTTGGGCCTTTCTTCTTTATTCGCTTGTCCTTGACTGCTCCATCTTGCTGTCTTACCGTGAACCTCTTTTGGACATGAAAATAAAAACGCAGCATTCCATCGTAATGTGCAACAATGGTGGAAGAAGCTGTCGAGAATATAAAGCTAGCAGTTAGTGCAAGCCAGAACTAGGACCCGTGTTCTCGAACGGTGTGTTGGCTGGTTCATTTATGTAAATGTGGTGAAGTTAACCAACCAAAAATGGTTCAAGAACATGAGCATGATGCATATGTCAAACCCTAAGAAAAATATCAATAAGGTCAAAGTTTGTATGAATTCAGAATTTAACATTTACTAGGTTTTGTTTTGTGTCTGATTCGGAATATTTTATATATATTATCATGAAACACAAAATTAATAAAGTGAATAAAAATTGAAAGACTGAGAATAGCACAAACCTTCATTTTTTTTTTTCATGTCTTTTTTTTCCATCATCAAAGAAATGTCTGTTTATAATATAATAATATTAAAAAAGAAAAACCATTTCCTTACATCTCGAGCTAAGTGCCTGCACGCAGCATTCTCGTATATAATTTAATAAATCCTTTGACAAATAATAAATATCTACAAAATGTTTTCTTAAAGTCTTTTTATAAATGACTGAAACTCCTGAGTTAATCAATCAAGCTTTTAGCATCAAATTTTTTTAAAATTAAAGAGTATTCCCACATCGGGGAAATTAAAAAAGAAAAATAAAAGTAAAAAAGCGGGCCATCAAATTCTTGCCATGTTATAGTCGTTCAAAAATGGAAAGCTCTATTACTATTTTTTCCCAGAAATAAAAATTTATCCAAAGTCTATAAATAGACAACGGTCACCTATCGCTTTCTTCACCTCACTTCCTCAGCAGTTACTATTACTATTTGAATTGAGCCGCGGCTCCTACATCTCTCTCTCTTCGTAGATCAGATCCAGATCCCTCAAAAGGTAGCTCTACGAAACCCCGAGTCTTTAGATCTCAGATTCACATTAAAAAACGATGCTGCCAATTTCTTCCTTCTAACCACTCGCTCTGTGATGCGACGTGACGTTTTTCTTCACTATTTTTTGCGATTCGATGATGATTGACTTGTTTTGTTAAGATCTGCTGTTCTTTTCTCCTTTTGATTCAGGCATTTCGCTTGTTTTTGCTGGCTTCTGTATCACTGTTTATACATATATATAAAATTAAAGTTAGGTGTTGTGGTATCTAGGTTGATATGATTGTAGTTGTGATATAAATCACCACGCATTTTTTTTGAGTTTCATAATGTGTTTATGAATTGTGTCTCTTGTATGTATGCATGTATTTGTGATCATGTTTGTTATGATGTGGGTGCTGGCGAGCTATCTAGGAATGGATTGAAAGGGGGTGCTATCCCTATTGTGTTGCCCAAGGATGCAAATAGAAAGCATAAATAAACTATTTTTTTTAAAACATGATGTTTGTTAAATAGAGTTATGGCGAGCTTGTTGATTTCAAATGGCTATTCAGAAATTGGTTGACGGTTATGTAGATCTTTTAAGTTGCCAAGACGTGATTAGAGTAGTTTGTGTGATTTCTGAGTGTTAAACGCAGGTAATTAATCATGGTTCTTTTCATCCTTATTGTGACTCATGCCATTTCATTTCCATAAATTTATTTCTTTGTCATCCTCATTCTTTCTTGGGTGACATGTTTTAATTTTTGTGCCAAGTAAAGTTCAGAATATGGGTCGTGGAGTTAGCGCTGGTGGAGGGCAGAGCTCGTTGGGCTATCTGTTTGGGAGTGGAGAGGCTCCAAAAGCTAGCACAAACAATGTCCAAGCTGCTCCAAGCGAGGTCCAGCCTGCAAGCAATCCACCTCCTCCTAAACCTGCCGCAGCCCCTCAGCCAGCTGAAATTAACAGGGAGTTTCCTGCTGGTATCAACAGTACTTCCACAAACAACTATATGAGGGCAGATGGTCAGAATGCTGGCAACTTCATCACGGTATGATTCTGGAAACCTCTGCTCTTGGAGCAGTTTTTATTAATTGTCCATGCTGATTTTAGGCGGATACAATTTGCTCAGATTCACGACATGCCACAATTCTTCTCTGTGACAAATTAGCATGCCTGTTTAGTTCTTTACAAGATTCACTTGTCTTTTGGAAATGGATATGCATTATCCAGCGAGTGATTACGAACTGCGTGGCAGAGGGATGTGCATAAATACATGTGGAAGAATGCCATTATCTTTGTAACTATCAAACTGCATTTTTGCTGCCTAGAAGTATGAAGTGCCATTGGTTGTTTTAGGGTTCCAGGTCTCATTCCAATAGGGTGAAAATTTTGTTTCTAGCGCTCTTCATATGCCTCTGGGAGCAGGAGTACCTCTCCAGTGATTGGAGATATGGCTCCTAATCTTAGCCCTAGGCTTATGAAAGCAGCTGTGTGTCTCAACATCTCCTTGAATGTACATGGGTTATGGTATAATGGGTAACTAGATACTGTTCATGGTTTATGATGGACTAGGCTTGGGAACTCTCTCATGCAAGCTGTCGCTGTGAAATGTGGGCCCAAGAAGCAGCTAGATGGATCTTATAGTGCCAGTTAGCCATTTGTTTTGAGGTGTGGGGGTAAATTCTTAGAGCCAAGGAGCTGGGCTGGAACTACTTTCATTTATGCTCTTGGCATTCTGTATTCTCAATTTACATGTTTCCAAGCGATGTCATCAGCATAGTATTCTCATGGTTTCATTTGAACTAGGTTCAATATATACATTATGAAAGTTGAAAGAAGGCGGACTTGGAACTACATGAATGTTATTTCTAAATCATTCACAGTGCTCTATAAACTGTTTCTGGAAGTTGCTTTAAACAGCCAACAAGCTACTTGTTTAATTGTTTTAACATAACCTGCTTAATTGTGTTTCATGAGTGACAAATGGTTGTTTGTTGAAGTTGTTTTTATCAACCTAACTTTGTCTCTTGGTTCAGGATCGACCTTCAACCAAGGTCCATGCTGCTCCTGGTGGTGGATCTTCTTTGGGATACCTCTTTGGTGGTGGTAGCAATTGACACATGCAATCATGTCTTCATACGGAGTTCTGTTTGTTGATCTTTGTGAACCTTAGTTTGAATGAAACCATGCTTTCATCTTCAATATGATCCATGACAATTTGTTGGATCATGTGGAGTAATATCTTCTGTGTTCTCTTTGTTGTTTCAACATTTCAATCACGATCGTGGGATTTAGATGCCTGGGCATCTGTTAAAAATCGGGTGGATATTTTCTGATACATAAAGCATCCGAACAATATGTCGTTTCTAATAGCATTGCCAATGCTTTTTTTTTCCCCTTCAATTATTCTTTCCTCGTGTCTTTCCTTGTCCCTTTTTATTCCTTGTTAATAGGGCAGTGTCAACGTGTTTGCTGTCTTTGGGTCTGTTTGTCTGGAATTTCCTTGAAAAGTTGACCCTGCGTGAATCATGCCAAACAAGAAAATTATTCCGTCCATCGCTTCTCATCCATTCCCCATCATCTGTCTTTCCTACCATTCCACCTAACAAAACTGATCCTTGGTGCTGGGAGGAGGTATGGATTTTGCAGTGAACTAGTGGAATGACTCTCAAGTAATTGTGCTTTTCTTGTGCCTATTGCTAATGCCCATATCGATTATAGATGAGAAGCAGAGCATTGAGTTGAGAGCAGGTGGCATTATTTAGCCCATTTTATGCAATGGAAGACTACCGCTGCTCGTGGACAAGGAGGAGAAAAGCCAAAGGTGTCAAAATGCTCACTGTTTGATTTTTGTTTGTTTTTTGTAACGACTGTTCGAGATTACAAGGCAAAAATTAGAAAATCTCGCTCCCCTCCCAGGTTCGCAGAGCTTATTGCCATTGACACAAGGTAAGATTACCCACTCCCTCATAAATAAAGTCATCAAAATTTTAAAATACTCGGCATCATCATCAAAATTTATCCTCGTAAATTTTAAACACTCGGCATCCCAGGTTCGCAGTGCTTATTCCCAGATCTCTTTTATTATTTTTTGACGATTCTTAAGGAAAAACACGATTTTCATATAATATTCAATAGCTAAATCTATCATAGTGGTTGTTAAACACCTTTCAGTTGGTGGGAGAAATCGGAAAAAATAAATAATTTGCATGCTGGGCTCATCAGAATTTTAAAATACAAACATGACCTCCAACGCAATAACTAACATGAGATAACCGATCCATGTTTGAACCCGATTTTTTTTCTATGGCTTGAAATCCATAAAAATCCAAGCATGAATTCAGTTGATAACACCCCTGTTCTCATATTATGTTGCAATTGTGTTTGATCAAGAAAAGGTGCTTTTCTATGGCTTTCACTTGCCTAAGAATGCTAGATCTTGATATAATCATAAACCCTGTTCTACGATGTTTAAAGGAGTGCTCTTCGAGCTTTTTGAACGAAGAAGAAAATGCAAGTTAGGGGAACAAAATGATGTTCACAAGCTTTTCGCCGTTGGAAGTTTGCAAGCGAAACTCGTTTTTACCATCCGAAAAAACTCCTTTTGTACATCTTCTCAAAGGCATATTTTGATTAGGGGCAGCAGGAGCAGGAGTTACCCCCCATTTTCTGCGGACATCTTCCAAATCCTCGTGAAAGTGCTTCTCATAATACACACACATGAGATCTGTGCTCTGCAAGCCAGCCCGAACGGCCCACGGGAAGTAGTGCTGGAAGAAAGATTTCCTCTGCTTCTCAGTAAATCTAGCTGTGCCTCCAACAACAGACATCAGGCACATTGGCAGGTACATTTGCTCGAATTCACCAATCAAGTTGGTGGGCAGACCAAAAAGGGTGTGCCAAAAATCATGACCTCGCGAGCCCGCATGGCAACATACGCCACTTCTTCCGTTTCCATGAATCGCACTGGTGGACGGTCATATGGGGGAAAGTTCCTAGATCCCATGACGCTTGCATAGGCAGCACCAAATGTATTGGCTGGCAAATCCCAAGCATGCCCCACTTGAGCAGATATGACACGAGGTCTCTCCATGAGAAGTGCCTATCAACACGATATAAAGGAAGAGTTGGTTTCTTTATAATGAATGACACGAATTTCAACCATCAGGTGTCTGTGTGTGAAGAGTCCATATGGAAGTAATCACAATTGTAGCCTAGAGATATATTAAAAAAATGAATTCCAAAGCTAGAATTATTTTTCACTCGTGACATGCTTCGCTTTAAGCTTGCTTTCAAAACGAATTCGCTTTGATATTGCATGATAAATTTGGAGCCCGCAGCGCCTGTCAAAATTTCAGTTTGTTGATATTATCTGGCGTTGCCATATCCCATCACGATATTAAAAATTAGTTTGAAAAAGATTGAATTTCTAGTATTTTATTATTTCACTGTTATTTAAATAGTATAATTATTAAAAATCCTAATAAAAATTCTATAATAAAAAACTGATTATACAAAAAAAAAAAGATATTATTACTTCTTAAATATCTTGTTTGAAACAGACTGCATTACTCATTTTTATTATAAATTGCTACTATTTTGTTAATTTATACTATAATAGTTTGCGTGTAATATTCTTGATTCTGGCGCCTGAATATTCTACTATAGATATTTCTAACTTTGATATTGGTAAATATTAATTAGCTATAAAATAAATTTAGATCAATATTTTTATTCCTAACTCTAGTATCAGTGCATAAACAAATAAAATAAATTTATTTTTACGCATGCACACATATTTTTTATTATATTTTAGCTAAATGAAATAAAATAAATTTAAATTAGTATTTTATTTCTGACTCTGACATCAGTAAATAAACCAATAAAATAAATTTATATTATTTTATTCATGTATACACATATTTTTTATTTTTTAATTGTTAAATTTTTTTGGGCTGGGTGGGCTAGACCCAGCCCAGCATATATATTTTGGGCTGGGCCCAGCTCAACTCATATGGGCTGGACTAGGCCCAGCCAGCCTGGCCTGGCCTGGCCACTGGCCCAAGCCGGTGGCCTGGCTGGGCTAAGCAACACGCGTGCGCTGATGCACGCGTGCTGCTACACTGTGCAAGTGAATTAAAATTCACTTGCACAGTGTAAATGCAAATTAACTGCTATAATGTGAGAAGACGAAGCCGCTTGCCTGGTCTGCTGGAGGCGAAGGCGCGCAGTTGCTGATCAACCAGCCTCTTTCTTGCTTTCCCTGCCTCTAGTCTTTTCTTTCTTGTTCTCTGGCTCTTCTCTGTGTTTGCTCGCCTGGCTTGCTATCTGATTCAGGAGACGGAGGCGTGATGGATCACCGGCCAAAGCTCTGCTTCGGTTCCTTTGTATGCTCCTGTGTATCCTCTTGTTCTTCCTCTGGTTTTTTGTTTTCGTTCGTTCCCCTGTTCTTCGTGAATTCACCTGTCAGCTGCTCGTTCCTCTCTGTCTCTTGTGTTTATTTTCCATCCCTCGGTCCTGCCTTTCTGTTCAGCCGGTTCAGGTGCTGCGGCGAAGACGATGATTGGCCAATGTTCCCTGCTTCTGTTTCTCGTTAGCCTAATCTCTCTATTTTTCTTCTCTGTTCTCTTGATCTCCGCTGCTTGCAAACGAAGACGACGGTGTGGAAGGGCCGTTCCACCAACACGGCTTCCTCTCCTCTGTTGTAGTTTTTCACCCCCCGGTTCTGCCCTTTTTCTTATCTGTGAATTTGCTCTCAGTCCCTCTCCAGCGTCGGTTTTTAACTCTGTCTTTCTACATTTTTCTTTCCGCGTGCATGGCCTTTCTCTGCCGGTTCCCTCCCATTTTTTTCCTCTTCTTTCGTTGCTCCTTCTCTGCCTTTTAAAAAGCCAAAGAGCTTCAACAACCATTACCCCTACGCACGGGATCATGGTCCACGATTTGCTGCAGATTTCCTGTTGAATCGGTTTCTCCGTGCGAAACGAAAGGGATGGGATTATAACGGCGTCATTTGGCATGAAAAATGACAGATTATGGATTGGTCCCTGATGTTTTGAAATGTATCAGGATCCTTTAATCAATAAATTTTAATTTTACCCTTTGAATTAATTTCAATTAAATTAAAATTTAATTAAATCGCAACATATTAATTCTTCAATTAAATCTCTAATTTTATTAATTAAACTAATCTAAAATTTAATTAAATTTCAAACTCCTTAATTCTTCAATTAAACCTTAATTAAATTAATTTCAAGTTTAATTAAGTCTTAAAACTTTATCAATTCTCTAATTAAACTCTTGATTTAATTAATTAAACTAGTTAAAAATTTAATTAAAATTTTAAACTTTTAGTCATGTTATCCTTAACCTAAATTTTAATTCATTTTTTATTTATTTTATTTTTACTTATTTTTCATTATTTTTTAGTAAATAAAATAATTAAAATAAAAATTTCAGGTTATGACAGGCATCATAAAAAATACCCAAGATTCATAATTCACAACGTAACAAGACTGGATAAGGACTGTTGCATATTATGTAATGCATTCAGGATGATAAATAATTCAGTCATACCAAACTACTACTACTGTTAGTACCACCACCCAGGAAATGGATGATGAATGAAATCAAAGGGAGATAGAGAGAGAGAGAGAGACCCACTCTTCTCTCCGGGCTCTTCTTCATTCTTTCGACAACTCTTTCAAAAGCATGTTTTCCGGTTGTTTCTCCAAGCGCCGCTATCAAATCCGCTCTTCGTGGATCTAACAACGCACCCACCGCGGAACCAACAGCAACGGCCGCCTGTTGCCATCCGTTCAGCTGGATTCCTCCTCCTCCTATCATTCCTTGCTCAACAACACAGCGTACCTATAATTAATGACAAAAGGGGAATTTTCTCCAAGTTTCTAGTCACAGTTGAATTGAATCTAGATTTATTTTAGAGTTACATACATGAAAGGAGAGCGGAAGAAGAAACGACAAAATAATAATAATAATAAAAATAAAAATAAAAAGAAGGGCTAGGGAAGGCGTGACCAAATATGAGGGAGAATGGGAGAGGGGGTTGGCCTGCTTGGATTTCTTTGAAGTGCAAAATAGACGAGAAATTTTCCGATGATAAGCTATAACCAGTGATATTTTATATTATTACAATATATGCCACATCAACTCTTGTAACCAGCCATTCTCTTCAATTCCTTCTCTTCTATCCTCTCTCTCTCAACGTTGCTTTCTCTCTCAACTTCACCATTCCAGAGCTACAAACCACTGTTTTTGCCTCCCTCTTGACTTCATCATCAAAGCCCACGATTTCAACTTCACGAGTGCCGTTGTCGGAGGAGCCTTTTTATTGCAAGTTCAATTGGTTTACACTTTGAATTTTCTGTAGTTGAATGTGAGGGTGAATGGGATTACAAGAGAAAATATTGATTCAACACCCCGAGTGCTGCTGAAAGAAAGAGGGGCCTTTTTTCAACAAGAAGTTTGAGATTCAAAAGACTGGAACACCGTGAAGTATTTATATGTATCGAAAAAATTCAGTTTTAAAGCTTTTGAATATTTATTTATCATAAAATTAGGAACTATCGAACAAATCCTATGGGCTCTAGATCAGACAATACCTGGATTCCTAAAATCAACCTCCATTGCATTGCCTTGTCCATGACATTAAAGCACGATGGGCTTCGGACTTGTGGGATGGGCTGAATTTATAAGCATATGGACCTCTCAATTAAGCTGAGATAGCCCAATAAGTCACCAACAAGCCCATCAAGACGCACCGTTTTTTTCGCTTTCCTCTTCAACGGTCATTCCTCTCTCTCTCTCTCTCTCTCACTCCGTTTCACACTCGATGTGGAGAATGGATCATCCATCCCCATCTCGCCGGACGCGCACCAGCAAAACCCCTAATAAATCGGAACTCTACTCTACTGTCGTAATTCACAACTCAGACTCCGACTCTGAACCCGAATCCAAATCCAAAACCGACGACAACAACATCTACGCTACAATGCTCTATAAAGGAGTGGGAGAAAACAACAGCAAAAACGACGACTTAGACGTAGAAGAAGAAGAAGACGAAGAATCTCTTCCTCCTCTCCTCAAACGCCTTCCAAAAGACTTTGGCGGTGGCGACGACGACGAAGACGAAGACGACGCTGATTTCGGCACTATGATCGTCAAGACCGGCCGCGGACGCCACCAGAAACAGTCATGGTCGTCATCATCCGCGGTTGCCCCTCCAAGGAAGCCTCATAGCGCTCCTTTCACGGAATTTGAAAGCCGAATCAATGATATTGGAGATAACAGTGACGGGGATGATGACGGGAGAGAGGAGTTTGGGACATTTTTGGTGAAATCGACGGTGGTGAGGAGGAGCGGGAGTGGTGATGGTGGGTCAACGATGGGGAAGGCGGTGGCAAGTATGCAGGCGTCCGGGGAGCTAGGGTTTGGAAAGGAGCGGAAAGGGAGTGGGTTGCTAGGAGAGGAGTGTAAACAACACCAGCAGAAGCAAAGCAAAATGTCTTCGAGTTCGATTCCAGAGAGTGTTACTAGAGAGGATCCTACTACTAAGTATGAATTGCTTAATGAACTCGGTGCGTGCACTTTTTGAACGCGTAATTTTTTGTGTTAATTATGCAGTTTGAGTTTGAATATAGATGTGTATGTAGAACAAGGGATGGTAAGTGAGCATTTTAGTCATTGTGGTAACTGGTGAGGTTTAAATGTTTAGTCGACAAGTTAATGGTGTGTTTTCGATAAGGTAATTATCTTGATTAAGCTTTGTCTCTGGTATTTGTTACTTACTTTAAAGTGAGTATGTTAAAGTGTTGTGTGCTGAGTTTGTTTCTTGGGTGTCAGGGAAGGGGTCTTACGGGGCTGTTTACAAGGCTAGGGATTTACGAAGTTCAGAGCTTGTTGCTATCAAAGTCATATCATTGACCGAAGGAGTGAGTGTGCTTCCTTGTTCTGCTTATAATTAAGTTCTTTAATTTGTTGGTCGAATGTATATTGGATGCGGGTCCAAATGCTGCTTGTATGCAGGAGGAGGGATATGAAGAAATTCGCGGTGAAATTGAGATGTTGCAACAATGCAGTCATCCAAATGTTGTTCGATATCTTGGGAGCTATCAAGGTGAAGAATATCTTTGGGTATGAACTCTTTTTGGTTACTTATTTGAGGATTAGCAATCAGTTTGATTCTATGGGTTTCACCCTGTCACAAGTTTATTTTTTGGTGCTCGATTCTTTTTACTGGGGTGTTTTTTGCAAGACTAGTTGTTGTTGTTGTTACTATTATTATTATTATTTGCAGATTGTTATGGAGTACTGTGGGGGTGGAAGTGTTTCTGACTTGATGAATGTGACTGAGGAACCTTTGGAAGAGTATCAAATAGCATACATATGTAGAGAAGCTTTGAAGGTATCCTTGATTTTAATTGGTTGGGACTTGTGAGAAGAAAATGTTGATACTTGTCTATTCCATTTTTATTTCTTTTTTCATTTTGCTCTACTTTTACATACTATGGTGGTTTGATTTGTACCCCTTTCTATTCTTCTATATATCATGCAGGGCCTTGCTTATCTGCATTCAATTTTCAAGGTCCATAGAGACATTAAGGGTGGTAATATTTTGTTAACTGAACAAGGTGAAGTCAAATTGGGTGAGTATTTTCTTTCAAAAATTATGTGGTAAATAATGGAACTCCAATTGTGCTTATAAGAAACAGAAAGGAATCACTTATTGTAGGGTTTTTTTTTTTTTTTTTTCCCTAAAATGCTTTTTGGTAGTCCTATTGTTTTTTTAAATGACATTGATAGCTTTCATGTTGCAAAGGACTGTCTGAATACCATGACGTGGACTTGCTCCTAACTTTCATTCTTCTTAACAGTTTTTCTTTTCACTCCCTGACTTGAATGCTTGTATTTCCATGATGTCTTGATTAATATAAAATAATGAAGTGGAAATGATTGCACTTGTTAATGCTGAGTTTATGACAGAACAGATTCAAAGTTTATGTACTACTGGGGATTCGTGGAGGATTAGGGCTTGGGATTTGAGAATTCTATGGGTTTAGACTAGAAGAAAGGGATTTAGGGCTTGCAATTTAAATTAGTGATGAAAGTTGAAGGGCTACCAACTTCACTCTCGTAGGTGTTTTAGGAGTCACATCTAGAAGATAGAAAATCTGAGTACCACATCTTAATTAAGGGCCAATAAGACACTATATAAAATAAAAGCCAGACCATGATAATTTGTGCAAGTCTGGAAATTACAGAAATACCATTGTCTTCCAAAATCACACTACAAACAAGAATTTTGCTTGTTTTGTTGCCTGCATCTGTGTTTTATAAGTCCCGTTAGCGAAGAAGCTACATGGGCTAGGCTACCTTTAAGTCCTGTTTGACAAATGGATTAGAGGTTGGTCTTCTGAAGGAAATCAAATTCATAAATTTGGTATTAACTTTTGATGATTGAGATTGAGTTTGCTTCCCTTGTAAATGTTTAAAACTGTATGGAAGAATTTCCATCGTATTGAGACATTCAAGACACAAAAAAATTTATAAACATGAATTGTTTCTGGCTGCTAACATTGTTGAAGAGGCAGACCATGATTTGGATCAAAATGTCATATTTTCAGGATTAGAATTTGTGCCTGTATTTAATGTCATACTTGACAGGTTATCTCAGAATTCATTCCATGCACCATGCCTTTTCTTGTGAAAGCCTACTGAAATATTACTGCCTTTTCTTCTGCTAAAGTTTAAAGCCCTTTACGTTCTATATTCTAACTTCTAGAGTGCAAAGTTAATGTCAAACTGATCCAGAATTTTGTGGTTATTGCAATGTCTGAGCAGGTGATTTTGGGGTTGCCGCGCAGCTTACAAGGACCATGTCAAAGCGTAATACGGTACAGTAATTGTTGAACTAATGTGCAGTTTTTATGAATTCATATTTTGTGAATTAGAATTGCTTGTAGCGTGCTCCAGCTTTTTCTAGATGATAGCATTCCTAGTATAGAATTGCATGCCTCAGAAAAAGCCTGATGTCTGGAAAGACAACTTTATGTTGAACTTTCTGCATGTCAGCCTGTGATGTATTTGAAAATGTACACTTCCAAGTTTATCTATGTACCTTCATCGAGGTGTCTTTCCTACATTATGGTAACCTCAAACCTATTTCTCATGATAAGTTACTTTTAATCTTTCTACCAAAATAGGGTTTATGACAACTTTTAAACAAGGAATTCTATACTGTATAGACTTCAAACCACATGATACGTCAGCATTTAATTTTTCTTTCTAAATTATGTACTAAAGATAAAAAAAAAAATAGAGAAAAACATACTTTATGCACTCTCCCTCACCTGTATCTGTTCCTTTCTTCCTGCACTTGAAATTTATTTAATGAACTCTTTTCTTTGTTTCAAGAATCCAGCTATTTTGAGTAACACTAGTTTTTGGTTCTCCATATAGTAAATAAATGTTCAATTAGAAACATCCCAAGACCTTCTCTAATAACAAATCCAAATGCAAAAGGAGCTCATTAAGCTACATGTATTTTGTTCTTGTGAAACTTTTGGAAAGCAATAAACATTTGATTCTTGGACGGTTGTTTGCCATCCACCTTCAATTGGAAATAGGAGTCACATCAAAGAGTGGATTTGAAGAAAAAAGGGAGGGAGGGAGAGGTTGGAGGATTTTAAAGGCAAAGCCTAATGGGTGATCAAGACCTATGGTAGCAGAAAAAGCCCAACCAAACAAAAAATTTTCCTTCTATAAAAGCAGTTGTTCAAAATTTTGCATATTGTACTCAACATGAGCTATAATATATATAGGAAAAGGCAAGTATAGACAAGAGAAAACTGGAAAATAATAATTTTATAAGTATTTGAACAAATTAAAAGCTGGTATGTTTGTTTAAATGTGAGGTGAGTGTAGATGGTAAATAAATTCTGGTAAATTTGGTTGAAATTGCTTTTTTAAATTTAAAAAAGAAAACAAAACTTGACTTCTTATTCTTGGTTCCATTTTTTCTTAAAGAAGATTGTCTAGTTTGCTCATTGAGTTAAAAAATTTAAAGGGTATTTCTATGAAGTCAAATGTTTTAGCTCGTGATTTTATATATAGTTAATGGACTACTGAGTTTTATTTTATGTGTAGTTTATTGGCACTATGAGCTATAATATATATAGGAAAAGGCAAGTATAGACAAGAGAAAACTAGAAAATAATAATTTTCTAAGTATTTGAACAAATTAAAAGCTGGTATGTTTGTTTAAATGTGAGGTGAGTGTAGATGGTATATTAATTCTGGTAAATTTGGTTGAAATTGCTTTTTTTAAATTTTTTTAAAAAACTCGACTTCTTATTCTTGGTTCATTTTTTCTTAAAGAAGATTGTCCAGTTTGCTCATTGAGTTAAAAAATTTAAAGGGTGTTTTTATTAAGTCAAATGTTTTAGCT